ACTGATTGGATAAAAACAATGTGTAAAATGTGATCGATAGACGAACTCACCAGTAATAAACGGAAACACCCACCACCACATTAACTCCCTTTGACCTTGTTCTAATGTATCTCTTTATTAACCAATCACAGTTTGATGTTCATTGTAAAATAACATTTACTTGTTGACTCATTTTTCCTATTCTCTGGCTACTGTTCGAAACAGATAAAGTTTATCTAGCCAAATAGCTTGCTTGTTCTGACTTTGGCCAAACCAAAACTCTGTATTCGGCGGTCTAGAGAATAGCTCAGAATTAAACCTGTAGGAAATTGCTCCCTACACAATGGAATAAAGGATTTTTTGAAAATATCTTATTTCACTTAGGAAACTCAGCTAGTTTTTTTTCATATTTTAAGGGATACATATAACTGACAATAAGAAGCATTCCTATGGTAATATTGATTTGACGATTATTAGCACTAAATAATTATCGAGCGCAGATTTATTTTTGGCTTTAAGCTACACTTTAAAGCTAGTAATACTATCCGGTTGCTTAAACAGAAGTTGGCAAAGCGGCGAACAACTTCGCTTAAAGAAGCACTAACTTCAAAGTATCAGGTGCTGGGCTGCAACATGCATCATCATAAGGAATGGATCTCTATGGAGACCCTGCACAAGATTCAAGAGAGGAAGAACAAGAAGACAGAAATTAACAACAGTCGAAAAAGAACAGAGAAAGTCAAGGCACAGAACGTATATACAGAAACAAGTAAGCAAGTGGAGAGGAGCACTAGTGCTGATAAGCAGAAATATGTGGAAGACCGAGCAACGACAGAGGAAAAGCTTCAAGAAAAGGAAATATGAGACAGCTATATGACACAACGAAGAAACTGGCAGGCAAATGTGGTAAAGGAGAGAGAAAAGTCAGGGACAAAGAAGGTAAGACAATCAACGAGACTCAAGAACAGAGGAAAAGATGGGTAGAACACTTCGAGGAACTCTTGAATAGACCAGCTCCATTGAACTCATCGGACATCGAAGCAGCACTTACAAACCTTTTAGATGTCACTCCGTGAACGACCGAAGGAATCCGGATGTTCGTCAGCTAAATAAAGAAGGGGAAAACAGCACTACCTTAAAGCTTACAGACTGAACCAATAAGTGTCAGGTATAGAAGTGACTGCAAAGATACTCTATGTTCTATCCAGGAGGTTTGGGAGGAAGAACAAGTGCCGACGGACTTGAAAGAAGGATATCTCATCAAGATACCGAAGAAAAATCTCAACATGTTGAAGAACTACAAAGACACTACGCTATTATCAGTAGCGGAAAAATTTTTCAAGTGTTGTTGAGCCGTAAGAAGATTCAGTAGACGCCCAACCCCGAAATTAACAGGCTAGATTTCGTAAGGATTGATCGTGCACAGACAAAAGTGCAACCCTACGGATCATCGTTGAACAATCGATTGAATGTAGTTCATCGTTATATATCAAGTTCTTTATCAGAATGGGTTTTGTGGAGAGTTTTAGAAATTTCACAGGTTGAAATCATGAGTCAGTTGAAGCTAGACCACCATTGAAAACCTGGAAGCACTGGACGGCCGTTTCGTCCTGGTATGGGACTCCTCACTGAAGACAATGGTGTACGGTGGCGCAACTTCGTGGATTGGTTGAAGTTAGACATTAACACTGTTGGATACCGGCTCAGTGGTCTAGTGGTTAAGTGCTCGCGCGTGAAGCCGGTAGGTCCTGGGTTCGAGCCCCGCGTGGTGCGGGATCGTGAATGCGCGCTGCTGAGGAGTCCCATACCAGGACGAAACGGCCGTCCAGTGCTTCCAGGTTTTTCATGGTGGTCTAGCTTCAACTGACTCATGATTTCAACCTGTGAAATCAAATTCTTTGTCTATGAGAAAGCATCTGAGAGTGTGGATAGGAGGACCTTATGTTAACTTCTTCAGCGCTATGGTGTAGCTAAAAGGTCGTCAACACCGTCCGGAATTCATACGACGGAGTACACTGTAAAGTCGTGGGTGGAGGACAACTCACAGACTCATTCGAAGTGAGGACCGGTGTCTGACAAGACTGCTCACTCTTGCCCCTTATCATTCTTAAAGTGATTGATCGGATCATCAAGACTTCCATATCTCAGTGGAAGCGTGGAATACAATAGTTAGCTTAGATGTTACTAGAAGACTTGGACTTCGCAGATTGCCTGTCTTTTCTATCCCATGCACACACACGAACAAATGTAGATCGGAACAGCCAGTATAGCAACAGGCTCTATATCAATAGGCTTCAATATACACAAAGGAAAAAGCAACATCCTCTAATAGAATACGAAGAACACCAATCCAATCACACTTGATGGAGAAGCTCTGGAAACGTCCAACTACCTGCTCAGTATCATCGATGAACACGGACGATCTGATGCAGACGTAAAGGCGAGGATCGGAAAAGCAAGAGCAGCATTCTTACAATTGAAGAACATATGGAAATCAAAACAACTGTCAACCAATTGCAAAGTCATAATCTTCAATACGAATGTTAAGACAGTTCTACTGTATGGAGCTGAAACGTAGAGAACTAATACAACCATAATCATAAGTGCACAAGTATTAACAAACCATTTACTACACAAGATACTTAATCTCATCAGCAACAATCTATTGCGGGAGAAAAAACCAGCTTGGAGCTGAAGAGCAAATCAGGAAAAGATTATGGAAGTGGATAGGACATACATTGAGGAAATCATCAAACTGTATCACTATACAAGCGCTAACTTGGAATTCTGAAGGGGAACGGAATAGAGGAAGACCGGAGAACACAGTACGTCGGGAATAGGAAGGAGACATGAAAAGGATGAATAGCAACGGAAACAACCAGAAAGGATTGTTCAGGAGAAAGTTGGACGAAGAATGCTGGTAGACGGCCTATGCTGCTTCACGAAGTGTAATAGGTGTAAGTCAGTAAGTAAGTAAGTAAGTAAGAGTAGCGGTCGAATATAGTAATGATTTGATAAATTCATCTTTTTCTAATTAACCTCTGATTAGTAAAAATATATTGATCTCAATGAACTTTTAAAAACATATTCATACAGTTGTGTGTATATAAAAAATATATCAATATCAATATCATATATATATATATATATATATATATATATATATATATATATATATACCTTCGTTAAGCTATATCATATGGTCTAATGTAGTGACAATGTGAATGATGTCAACGAAATACTAGACTGAATTAATTAAAAATATATAAAATCGAACTGAGTTGTGATGAAAAAAGTAAATAAACTTTTAGCACTATTAATTCAAGTACACAAATTTATTGAAGAAACAAAGTCACACAAGGTAGTTTTACAAACTTTTAAAGATGACTTTTTTTACAACTGACATTATTGAAAAGATTATCTTAAATTCAAATTATAATCCTTTAGTAGTACATATACATGCAACTTTATATGGAATCTAACTGGACTTTCAGACGTCACAACCAATACAACTTTTTTTTAATACATGAGATCTAAAATCCAATAGTTCATATTTTCACCTTAAATTGATTAGATCTCTAACAAGAATTTCTAAACAAAGGAATCAACCAGTTACCATAGAACAGATGGTATGTAACTAGCAGTGGGATCCAGGATGTGAGTTTCGTTCTAATTGGAACTCATTAGCTGGATGTACCTGAATCCTAGAGTTGATTTTCACTACGGAACTTGGACTTAGTATCATTCGCTTCAGATATCATTGCGTTATTCACTTAGCCACTGAGTCCAGATATCCATTCACTCGACTGAAAATTCGATTAGTTTTATTTGGCATGTGGGTATTCTTTGCAGATTGCCTCTATATAGCCGTTATGACACAAGATGATATAGAATAGATGGAAGACCGATAAAATCCCAGTAAAATGATATCAGCAACAGGACAATCCAAATCATTTTAGATTCCTTTAAATCAATCAGTAGGTTATAAGCAACATAGAGCATTGTATATATGCGCACATTGATTCAAGTTGCCACACCATGCAATTATTACGACGAATGACAAATGGTAACAGTAACAGAAGTGGTAGGAAATATTAGGGGCAGGATAGCTGGTCTAGAGGTTAAACGTTCTCGCGAGAGACCGATGGTTCTGGGCCCGAGTCCCGCATGCGGGATTGTTGCTGCGCACTGCTGAGTCCCATACTAAGGCGAAACGGCCGTCCAGTGCTTCCAGGTTTCAGTGGTGGTCTAGCATAGATCGACTCATGAATCCAACCTTACAAAATTAGATAATGTGTTCATTGTAGAAATTTTCGCTACATTCTTTACTTATTTAACTAGGTGGTTCACCGTTACATTGATAAGTTGTTTCTGTTTTATTTCTCCCATAACGTACTAAAATAAGAATACCTGTTCAGACTTAACTCTATATAAAAAATTCATCAGAAAGTGATCGCCTTTAGTATTAAGCTTGAAAAAAATTTCAGATTATATTATGCATAGTGAAATATCATACCAACCTGGTTAAAAAAATGCTTATTCATTGGCAGACCTTTATCAACCTTGATATGATGGCCAGACTTTGTTTTTTAGCGAAATCATAAATTATTCATCACAAATTGACATCATAATTGTGTATTCATTAAAACACATACCACTATAGATGAAATCGAAGAAACCTTTTCGAGTGATAAACCTACTACTTATAAGTAGTTAAGATCAGTGAATACACAAAATAGCTTAAACCGGATCATGTTTTCAATGAAATTTAATAATCTCCACAATCATATACTGAAAAGTATTTATTCCAGCTGACCTGATATACTGCTACATTGCTAAAACGACATGTTCGTTCAAAATTAACATGTGAAAGCTTTGGTTAACCCACACAAATACATTCAGCAGAAATAAACCAGGGAATATATATTATTTGTGTATATAGAACTGAATATATATAAGTATATACTGCCAAAGTTTTATACAGATATGCAACCATAATCGCTTTGTCCTTATCCGTCTACCTGACTCCCATATGCTGCATTCCACCACCTTGTGGATGCATACGTGGTTGGCTAGATGACGTCATTGATCTTTGTTGTTGTTGAGTTTGGTGATCCGGCATATTATGTATACTACCAACAGTCCCCGTAGCACCACTACTACTTCCTGTACCAACAGCACCTGTACCCGATGGAACAACCATTGATCCACCATGAGTTTGTTGTTGCGTCCCACTAGATAGATTAGATGATTGAGTTGCAGAAGTACTATTACAACCCGTTGGATTGACAGAATTGCCAGATTGGTAATTTTGTGAAGTATGTGGCGATTGAATGACAGGACGTGGAAGTTTTTTTAATAATATGTTAGGCATTTCAGCAAGTTCATCAAAACGACGCCATAAATCATACAAACTAAGTAGATGACGAGAAATTTCCAACACCTAAAGTAATATGAAACAGTATTACACAGTAATATTATAGAATCAAATCATCTTAGTGAGGGAAAGAAGATAAACAATAAAAATCAGATTAAATGGGACACAATTTATCGATATGATACAAAGTAGCTGCTTTTAAAAGACGGAGAGCACCTGGACAATAGAACTTTTTAGAGTGGAATACCACATCAAAATTTCATGGTAAATCAATAAAATTGTAGATGTGAAAAAAATTTACAGTGGACAACCGAACTATTTGCTAGGACAAAAGTCATTTTTTACGCTGACAATCTTAATAATTTTGACTACCTAGAAATACCGATAATTATCAGTAATGGGTTGTGGAGACTGTTGAGCTTAGATTGGTATCAGCGAATGACACCGTTGGATGCCGGCTCAGTGGTCTAAAGGTTAAGCTTTAGCGTGAGACCGAAGGTCCTGGGTCCGAGTCCCGCGCGCAGGATCGTGAATGAGCACCGCTGAGGAGTCCCATGCTGGGACGAAATGGACGTCTAGTGTTTCCAGGTTTTCACTGGTGGTCCAACATCGGTCCGTTCATTATATCAATCTGAAATACCGATAAGTTGTGACAGTGGAATTTCTGAACTAAAACTATACTACTTATAATTAATTAGCTTTTGTTCCCTTTGTTGAATTTTACTGGTTAATCCTAAGCTAACTATTTTTTTACTAGTTATCCTGTCCAGTCACATTGAGCCGATTTTCGTGCATGTGTGAGTTGAGATTTGATTGTTAATGTCGCACTCATGACCTTGAATAAGAGTTAAACACAAACTAATTATTATCTGTTGTAGAATTTAAAAATACTGAGAAGCCAAGATGATTTTTTCCATTTTATTCGACCTCAGATGCGCTGTTTTGGTAATTCTAAAAATATATACTACTTATCACTCAATAATACAACATTAAGCATAGTTTGTCTCCTTCCATTGTCTAACTTAATTTGCCAAATACTAGAAGTATTCATTAGTAGCTGTGTTTGAGCGCTGATAATGCCAACAATTTCATAAAGTAAAATCAAATAATAATAGAGAAACATTCCAACAAGTGCTTGAATCTAATCATGATAAACAAATCTATCTTAAGCTAAAAAAATATCTCAATCTCATTATTTTTTATGTTTAACTTTTGACTGTAGAATATTACAATGTCACAACCACAAGTATGAGCTCCATTACCGAAAAGAAAACCATTCCCATCAAAACTGCTTTTTAGTTGGAAAGTCAGTACGTAAACATAGAGAGTACGTTATGCGGATTACATGATGTGTTTTGTTGCTAACAATATTCAATTATTTGGTATGTATATGGAAGTAAGATTCAGGACATGAGTTTCATCCTATTCGGCACTTGTCTGCATGTATCCGAATGTTGATGTTCACACTGAGACTTGAAACTAGTACCTCTTGATGCAAATACTACTGGGTTGTTCACTGAGAAACTGAATTGATATAGCCACTGACTTGTTCGACGAGTATGAAGGTAGAGGTCTTAAATAGGACGGAAAGCACATCCCGAGTCTACCAAGAACCACATTTGGTTGATCAACAATGACTTGAACCACAAGTGGAAGAAATTTATGAATTTTCAGATGCTAATAAAATTTCTAAACAATACAATTGTAAGGTTGGAATTTGTAAAATATGGATAAAATATACAATTATTTATTTCAATGATGGGTCCACAACAAGACCATTATTCCGATATATATATATATAATTCGGTAATTAAATGCACTTGCCTTCCAACTACATTTTATGTAAATGCTAATGACAATAGTCAGTCATAAACAATGTAGAACATGGCACATATGTGCATCTGTCCAAATTGCCACATCATGTCAGCACAGCGGGATGAAATTATGAAGACGAGTAGCAGCAGTAGTCGCTTACATGTGATTCGAGAATGAAAGAACCAAGGAAAAACAAAGAGTAAGCAGATTTGCCCCATTACGACCAATTTTGAGCGACAACATTCGTCGTCTCCAACCACTAGTTGGGATGATTACAAGGACCCCGAATAGGTAAACTGCACCCACTAACACTGCTCGATCCAACAGTAAATGACTTCATGGACCGATGGCATGTTTTGGCTTGACTGCTTATAGATTTCGTCGAACCTACTCATACAACAGTCATCATCAAGGGTCCAGATAGGTGGTTATTGGGGATACTTGATACATATGAACGTTCGCTACCTCATCAACTGATTTCTCATTTTTTTAATGACACTGGGTGGTTATTTAGACAGAAGTGCAATGAATTTCAACCTAGTAGTTGAAAGTCGAGCACTTTAACCACTGACCAATCGGCTTAAACTCAAAATCATGGTTATCATTACATGTTTGCTGAGAGATCAGTTATCAGTGTATATATGAAGTTGTGCTCACCAAATCAACTTCACCTGACTAATGTAATAAGTCGGACTAAGATGACATATATATGTTTTATAGTTTTCATTGTGATAAGTCTTGCTAATTTGAACGCTTTATTCGGTTCCTAAGCTATTCTGGTAACCCGCAAGCTAGAACTATGCAGCGACCTGAACACACGAGAAAAGGCGCAAATTAAGCGAAAAGCACTTTACTCCGAAGGTCCCTTCTTGTACAAAAAAACACGGGTATTTATAGATTATTAGAATTTGTCAAATCAACATTAAAAATTGAAATATTTCCATACTGTAAATTTAGAACAACATTTATAAGCGAACAATATTATTTCCGATTAGATCCTCATCAGGCTTTACTCTAATATACAGTAATATTTATATGCATATACGAAATTATTAAACCAATCAAGGTAGTTTATATTTTGGCCAATCCGCTGAAAGATATTTTATGCTACTGACCAATAGTAGCATACCACGTTAATATTCTAGAAAGCACCCTCGTGCTCTGATTGGCTGAAACTCTTCGGCTCAATTAGGGCCTCTGGAGGCTCTGTTGTAGTTCTCGGGAGCCGACTTAACACCTCCCCGAATAAGATTTCTTTCTAGGATCCACTTTTGGCTTGACAACTGGTTTCCGGCGGCGTCTTCCTTGACCGAAGCTTATTTTCAGTGTCCTTGGGCATATGTAAAGTCGATGTCTAAGATTAACTCTAACAGAAGATTCGGCTGGTTATTTTGAGTCTGCATCGTTCTTTTGTCTTTATGGATCTGATTCGTATGTCGTATATATGTTCCAAAAGTCCCTCGGACTCTGTACAAAACTTTTCCCAATTTTTGTACAACTTTCCCCGGCTCCCATCGGTTCTTCCCGAGGTAGTATTTAATGAAAACTTCGTCACCAACATTAAAGCTCCGGATATTTGGATTGTGACTGTGCTCATCCACTAATTGAATGGCAACATGGCGTTGAAAACGGTCCGAATACGCCTTCCGAACATGGCTTCAACAGGAGACTTACCATCCGGAACATTTGGGTTCGGAGTGGTTCTGTAGGGTGTTAAAAATTTTGTGATTATCTGTCCAGTTGTACCTTCGCTTCTCCTTTTCAGTAATGCTCGTTTAAAAGTGTCCACAAAATGTTCTGCTTGTCAGTTCGATTGCGGATGATAGGGCGGAGAACAAAGATGAGTTATTTCATTTGCGCTGCAGAAATACTTAAACGATTCTGCGATGAATCGCGAGCCATTATCAGTTACTAAGGTCTCTGGAACTCCGTAGCAGCTAAACAAGGTAGACAACTTGTGGACTGTTTCTGATGTCGTACAATTAAGCATGGTATATACCTCTGGCCACTTAGTAAATGCATCCACAATAATTAGAAACATTTTTCCTTAGATTGGACCAGCAAAATTTGCGTGAAGTCTTACCCAGGGTCCTGCAGGCGTTGGCTCACATTTCAAAGGAGTTTTAGCAGCTTAAATGCATGATGGACAGTTACGGCATTTATTCTAGATATCTTTGTCCATTGACGGCCAATAAGCATAACTACGAGCCAACGATTTCATTTTATTGATTCCAGGATGGCCACTGTGAAACTGCTTGAGAACACTGTGACGTAATAACTTCGGAACAACAATTCGATCACCGGACATAATACATGAGTCGATAACTATTAGTGAGTCCCGTCGACGAAAATATTGCAAAAGTTTTCCGTCGAGACGATTGTTTGGCCATTTGATCGGGAGATAGCATTTGACTGTGCTCAATGTCTTATCACATTCAGTGATCTTGATGTTTTCAAAGGTTACTGGGAGTCCATTGATTGCGTCATCCAATACGCGATGAACTTCTTCCTCGGCTTTTATATTTCTACAAGAGTCTCCTCTGGGGTTTTTGATTGGAAGCCTATTAATCTTGACAATGCGTCAGCTTGCCCGAAGGCGGTAGTAGACTGATAAATGATCTTGAAATCGTAACCCAGAAGTGTGGTTGCCCATCGTTGAAGTCGGTTAGCTGTATGAACAGGAATTCCTTTCTTTGACCCCAAAACTGCAAGTAGTGGCTTATGGTCTGTTATTAGGGTAAAATGTCGACCATACATCATCTTGTGGAGCTTTTTCACTGCAAAGATAATTGATAGGGCTTCTTTCTCAATTTGACTATAGTTCCTTTCGGTCGTTGTCAAAGATCTGGCAGAGTGGGAGATAGGTTTTTCAGACCCATTAGGAAAATTGTGAGTGATAACTGCGCACACACCATGGTTAGAAGCATCTGAGGTAACGACCATTGGTAGCGAAGGATCATAATGCGCCAATAAAAGATTGGAAGTTAGGAGTTGCTTGATTTTCTCGAAAGATGCTTGACAGTCCGCAGACCAATTCCATCTTGTACTCTTTTGTAGTAGGTGGTTTGGTGGAGCACGTAGAAGATGGAGTTTGGGGAGGAAGGCACCATAATGGCTGACCAGTCCCAAGGACGATCGTAGGGTAGGAATGTCCCTAGGTCTAGGCATTGTTCTCACAGCTTCAATGTTCTCTGGATCTGGTCGTCTCCTACCTTTATCTATTATGAACCCAAGGTACCGTATTTGCTGCATATAGAAGTCACACTTTTCCGCTCGGAGGTGAAAACCATAATCGGCTATGCGTTCTAGTACCTGGTCCAGTTTCTTCTGCAGGTCCATTTTGTCTGCTGCCATAATTGTGATATCGTCTAAATAAGCTGCTGCCCCTGGGATACCTTGTAACACAGTATCCATAATTTGCTGGAAAATAGAGGGAGCCCTCTTCACACCAAAAGGTAGTCGGTTATACCGGAACAGACCTTTGTGTGTGTTGATCGTCAGGAGATCTTTTTTTCATCAGATACCGGGATTTGTAGATACGCGTCTGATAAGTCCGATTTCCCAAAATATCTGCCAACGTCCAGCTTGGCGAAAAGACCTTTTGGTAAGGGTAACGGATACTGGTGAGACTGCACATAGACGGACGCTTCCATTCGACATCTTGACAACCACTATTGGTGCAGCCCAGTTTGAGAGGTTCACAGGTTCGATAACACCCATTTCCTGAAGTCGTTGTAGTTCTTGTTCAACTATTGGAAGAGCAGCATAAGGTACAGGTCTTTTGGGTCGAAAGACGGAAGTAGCTGCAGGTTTTAGGGTTAACAATGCTTTGGCCTTCGTACATTCTCCCAATTCTTCTTTAAACACGTTGTGGTGCCTTTTTGGCACGGCATTTTTCTGGTTCCACTCTAAAGTGTTGTCAGTTCTGATTCGTCTGCAGATGTTGTTAATAGAATGGTCAACAAAATAAATACAAATTATCCAGCATAAGGTACTTCTGCGATGTATTAAACTATCTCTCTGTCTTGAATAACAAGCGAGCACACTGGATAAAATAAAAGGATTCATAATTAGAAAGGTCAACAAGACCCCACGTAATGTTGAGCCGATGATAAAATCCCTTTTACCTTAGAAACAAAATCCATCTACCAAAAATATTTACTTATTGCAAAGAAACAACAGCACACAATCATTCAAATAAACAAAAATAAGTTTATGCTCACTCTTTCCATATCTACATTTAATTCACTGAACCAACGATCAGCAACTAATGAAGGATTGACAGTTGATTGGGTTTGGTGCCCAAAATAACCATGTTTATTTGATGAAATAGATAGACTGGAATTCATAAATGATGATGAACTGATATTGACGGAGCCGATTAATAGGTCAGGATTACTTGAAATAATCACAACGGCCAGTTGTAGACAACCTGTGTTTTATTTTGAATAATAATATATTCTGAAAATCAGTATCGAGTGCATAATAGTTTATGGGCATGGTTGGGTTGACAGGAATAATTAGGTAATAAAAATAAACGTAAGTTAATACTTCCAGAAAGAATGTGACTTCTAGGTTGTTCCAGATAAAATTGATAAAAACGTGAAATAGTGATTATTAGAGAGGACGCATAAGTCTTATAAGAATAATTTTACAGTTCTTTATATTACAGATTACATACACAACAGAATAAAAAAACTATTTAACAAGCAGTGTGTTATCATTAGTATACAAACTGATAGCATACAGTGAAATGTTAAAAACGTGGCATGAATGAATTATAAGATAAATTTTGACATAAAAGACCCTACATAACTGTCACAAAAAACTAATTTATTACGCAAAGGAATGCTTTACAATGCAATGTTACAGTTGAAAGTAAGTAGTTTGTCCTAGTTTTCGAAGTGCTTTCATAAGGTCTTGTGTCTGTAGACTCTTTCATGAAACCTTTAGTCATTAGCGTCTCATGATGAAGGTATTTTTACCATAATGATGAGAAAAAGTGGGTATCAGTAAATTAAACAGAGTTGATGGATTTGAGAGACCTATCTAGGGGGTTGCGAAACTCACTAATGCATACAGGCTTCAAGGTCCTGAAAGAACAAATGGAGTATGAATCTACTCTGGTCATTGGCTATCGAGAGATCGCATCACTTGGTGCTAATCCACTACCTTGGGGATGAGATCTTGTAGTTAAAGGCTCGGGCACTCACTCAATTAGTAATGATTACTGTAGTGGCCAGTTGTTCAGAAACTTTAATATTTTAAATGAAATGAAATAAAGTAGCCAGACTTTACATAAAGCTCATTAGAATCTAAGAGAAATAAGGACTTAATAATACATATGGTAAAAAAAGAACATACCTAGAGCAATTATATAGGGAGGATAATGCAGGCACACGTCTGTTCGAAAACTATCATTTACTAGCCACCTTTACATATATCGACAAAAAAAGATGATCGAAAATATATTGTAATCATTTGCAGCATATTTAAAAAAAGTATACAATTAATTGATTGATTTGTGAGTTCATCTAAGATATACGAATTAGAAAAAGCTAGTTACCCAATAGTCCTAAGGTTTCAAAAGATCCTAAGATAGTTAGAAATACCTTAAGAGTAGTGGTAAAGTGAAATAATTCATTAATAAATATGAGTTTCCGAAACATGTAATGGGATCCCAAATTTGACAAAGTAGTGTGGAATCATATGTACAGACTATGGAATCATAATTATGAATAAATGGAACGGTTAACTCAATAAAGGTATGATGACTGCAAGTCTTGTACCAAAGTGTGTAAACAGTGTTCGACAATCGCTTTGAGTTTTTCGAAGCTCCTCTTATTCTGAAGATCAGTGTTGTTGGTTATTTTCCCTTTTGCAGTTGATTTAGCCATACGCATCAAACAGTAAAGACAGGAATGTATGATAATGAGCATTAAGAACAAAGAATGACTGTATGGAGGATACGCTATGTAGAGATGGTACCTATTATTTCCTTGTATTTTCTCTTTTTTTCTCGGATTATATCCTCGATGTCAGATCTTTCTTACTATCACTGGTACTACTGCTACTATTTTATCTTGCTGTACTGATGTGGTATGGTAACTTCAGACATGTTGGGGGTATGGAATCCTTAAATACAACATAGAAAGAAAATCAATATCGATTTACGATGAATTCTTGTTACATTAAATAATTAAGTGTAAATTCTGTTTATAGACTTTCAATACGTTCCTCACTGATTTGTGTTCATTGACAATTATTCGAATCGTAAACTGTGATAATCATAATCGATAGACGGCCGTCCAGTGCTTCCAGGTTTTCCAGGGTGGTCTAGCTTCAACTGACTCATGATCTTAACCATTGAAATTACTACAATCTCCACAAAACCCATCTGATATCATAAATGTATTTTGGGTTTTACTGGTTCTTGGATCAACAAGCTTCTAAACAACAACTCGACTTCTTACTCTAGTTAGTGAGGCAGTGAAGATGATGATAGCAATAGTCGCATTCACTGTATTAAAGCTGGATTTGTGAATAGTAGCTTATCGTATGAACAGATTAGGCTGATCTACATGTGTACCAGGTAGTTATGTTACTTATAAACGACTGAGTTGGTGCGTTGTGACAATTTTGTGCAATCTCCTGAATTAGTAGAGTCCTGATATCCAATGATGATTAACTGTTGTTCGGATACAGAATGTGGATTTTCGACTTTTTCAGTGATCAAAGTAGCTAAGTGGAAATAAGATAGTTGGACTGATCATCAGTAAACGAGGACAATTTCGATAATGAAAATCCTCGATTACCGATACTCGCATATAAGATAAAATTATTACTACTGATTTGATGAGCTGCAGACATTATCGTGCATTTTCTCAAAAAGTACTATACGATCACTTGGATTCTAAACTGAGACTAAATTGTATGAACCCGAAGTGTCCAGATTAGTACTCCACAAGCAACACTGACCACAACATACAGACATAATTTGCAAGAAATACATAAAGTTTTTGGTTGAGACAAATAGCATATAGACCTTCGGTGTGTTTGTTTAATAACTTAAAATGTTCTGTACGAAGGTTTACAGGAAACGACTTACCAAGCACGCTCTAACAGTACGTCAGCATACTCATGCATTTGAGGGCGAAGTTCATCACAAAACTGTACCAACGGACGATAAGGATGGAAGACGACTAATGAACAATCCTGAAAATAAAATATTTAGAGAACTTCAGAATTCAATTATGACTAAAACAGAAAATGTATTACTGCTTGATGTGGAATGCAAGTGGGCAAAAAGCTTACACCAAGTTTTAGTGCTTATAATTATCTCCCTCAAAGACGCAAAGAAAAGCTTAATGGCTCCATAAATACCATCTACCACTTCCAGGACTACTGTACCTTATCAGCCAAAGCTTTACACAGCTTATGACTATATATCAAACCACGATTGATAGAACCAAGGATAATCTCTCTGTTATGGTCGTACTTAATTTACTCTATTATTGGTAGGATGTGAACATAAAAAATAGTCCCAACTCTCCAACCCTCATGACCAATATTTTTCCACGAATTATTTTCGACAATAAAATGACATCACCCCCATTTTCTTAATATCACAAATTAACCAAAACAACAATCTTCTCACCATTGCTTCAAGTAAAATAAATTCACATTCCAATACATCTTGAGCACGATATGGATAACCGTAACCATCAGGAAAATAGATTAAATAATGACTATGAACTAGGATTGACCGAATTAATAGTTTTAAAAAACATAACTTACCCACATTACGACATGATGTCATTAGATTTTTTTGAGAAACTACGCCAAATTCCTAAAATCGGTAAAGATTTGTTCGACATAATTTTTTTAGAATAAGTAAACCAACCTCAACTTTAGATGCTAAAAACAGACACGATGGAGCCATCAACCATGGGTCGATAGTCTTAAATGAATTGCTTTATTGTTACAGAAAATATCCTCTCATATGCAACCTACCGACTGTAAAATCTTTTGAAATATACTAAAGCGGTTGCAATTACTTGTTGACGGACTTCAACGCTTTTGCCAAATGCTTGAATGACTATAAAGATGGAAAGACAATTTTTAAATGAAAATGAAAGTGGTGATAACGGTGCCAGAAATTTATGAGGTTTAAAGCATAACATACCATCAGTAAAGAAAAGCATTACTTTCTGATATTCTTCTTCGCTACCAAGAATTTTTAAATCATTCGCTCTATGTATCATTACATCTTGACGATCCAATAACCACTCTAAACTGTAAATTAAAGAATAAGTATGAATAGAGGAGATACTATGAAACAAAAGTGTAGCGATATATGAATAAGAACTACTTTTCCTGTAAGTAGGTAACTTCTCTATATAACCTATTTTGGAATGTACAACTAGGAGACGTGGTTGTTGAAAGTAAGCAATGTGTAAGGGCTTTTGTTTGCATTCTCCCTTAATCTAATGTAAATTTATCGAATGAGAACTGTTGAAGTATATAAAAGAGTAGCTTCCATTCAAACGATGAAGTATGAGTTGTTTAGTTTCACTCTAATCACCAATCACTGCTATATCATCTAATTAGGCGATCGAGTAACATATTGCAACTTACAACATTTTAATGGACATTCTCATGGTATCTTTATTTGCATCTCCATTAAATGCAGCTTATATCGTCTAGAAATATCTGTTAAAGATAGTGTTGTCAGGCAGTAGGATATACTGATTTGACGTATGTAATAAGTCAAAAACAGAAAATAAGCGGTAATGTGCTAATTACTTAATAATAAAGGAGTTAAGTCTGATGAGCTGACAGAGAATAGCAAGACTTACTAGTTTGAACTGCGCCAAAAACTTCGTGCCATGACACACTATATAGCAACGCGATTTACGATGGTTATGTCCTCATTTTAAAAATCGTTGACCATGAAGTCTCTAAAACGAACGACATGAAAATAAGATATTAGATTGATATTATTTTAACTGTCTATCTAATCGTAAGGTACAGGACCAATCAAAGATTCCATGACTCCTGTTCTTAGTTATCCCAGCCATTATAAGCAGCATATCTTTATTCCGTTGCATCAGCATAGGCTTCGTGGAGATGCGGTGAAACAACGTGAAAACATTACTTGGTAGATTTTTTTATTTGATGTGTTATAGTGTCACGCATGAACTAGTTTTTGTTAACTTGTTTAACTTTACAGTGACTGGCTTAGTCCTGTTTAGGAGTCCGGGTATGTACACACAAAAAGTATCTGAAGAACCTAAACTAACAACCAAACGTTGCTAGATGTTTCCAATTTCCCACCTATACCAGAATAATTATTGCTAGTAAGAAATCTCATCAGAAAAACAGGTTTTCCAACTTATTATATGTGAACGACAATCATACATAAGTTTTCCATGGAATTCTAAGCTTTCAGAAATCTCAACTTATTGGTCAGGCGAGAAAATGCTGCCAACAAAGTACATATAAACAGTCACATACGCCTGGAAAGATGAGTGCTATTGAATGATATATAAAAATTACAATTTCAACCAGTAAAAACTTAGTTTTATTTTGGATACAACATTTTATACAAGTAACGCCAAATTTTAAAAAAAAAACAGATATGGTTTCGACTAGTTTGCACAAAGATTCAGAAATACTGGATGTGCCGTAAGCAACAAAATTTGCGCTGACAGTCTTCAGTATTAAGGATGGTAGGTTGGTGAACCTGTGTTAATCCTGACAGATTGCCTTCCAGTGAAGGTTCTGCTTTTCCTTTAAAATATTCACTGATGGGGCTAATACCACTTGTTTGAGTAAGATGTTCCAGTCACTGACTACTCGATGAGAAAAACGGGACCCCACATTAAGTTTGTTAGATTGCAGTTTGCGAACCTTCTTGTTATGACCTCGGAGATTATTAGTGCTGGAGGGAGCAAAAAGATAAGACATATTAACACCCAAATCATAATTAAAGATACGAAATACCAGTATAATGTCACCTCGTGTCCTACGATACAACAAGGGGAAAAGTTTTAGGCGTTTTAAACGTTCATCATAAGGGATTTTAGAAAGACCCTTCACTAATTTTTTCCCCACACTCTGGAAAAGCTCAAGTGAGTTGGTATTCTTTATCTGCAAACAATAATAACAATGACCTAAGCAACAGCGATTACTCGTTAACGTAGAGAAGGAAGAGCAGGGGGCCTAAGGTGGTGTCTTGGGGTACACCACTTTTGACCGGATTCCGGTCGGACAGCGCTCCATTGACCCTCACTCTCTGTATACGGTCACACAATAAGTTTCCTATCAACTCCTAAACAGAACCTATTATTCCGAAGTTTGAGAGCTTCTGTATAAAACCTAAGTGTGAAACCTTGTCAAATGCTTTGCTAAAATCTATGAATATCACATCGACAGACAGACCATTATTTAAGGCTGCAGTCCAATCCCCTCTCGCAATAAGTAGGTTAGTTAAGCATGAACGCTTGTTACGAAACCCATGTTGCTCAGGAGCTAACAGATTGTGTGAATCTGTTTGACTTAACAACTTAACCCGAATTATCTTTTCCAGTAACTTAACGACCATCCTGGTTAGACTGACAGGTGGGTAGTTAGATACGATCTGTCTCTGACCATTCCTAAATATAGAACTGAATATAGCGTCTTTCCAATCTCTAGGTACTTGGGAGAGTGAAAGAGACATATTTAAGGGTGTCGCGAGAGATGACAGCAGCTGTGGATGTAACCCGTCAGGTCCCGGTGTCTTAAAGGTTTGAGGTAAGTTATCAATGGGTGAACAGTTTCCCCAGTCACATATGCAGATTTTATGGCTGGTATCTCGGCGTGGTTAGGATAAGTATTTGTAACAATAAACGTAGCGTATACTTATTGACAAGGAAAGTAATCCATGGTACCCTAAATGATCGCCATGATTTTAGGCTCTATAAAGATATCGCAACAGAATATGGTAGTAGAACGTAGTCATGTGGTCTGCGCGAAGCATTTGAAACTCTAACATAACTTCGTGTTTCGACTAACAAATTTTCCTAACCTCTGTCCTGTTTTTCTTTCTTAATTTTTGTCGATCATCTTCACCATCATCCACAAGTGAGGTCTGTGTACCAGGCGAGTTATAGACGTATTCTTTCTTACACCCTTTATTCCCGATATCCTCATATCAACAGCTCGTTACACTCCAATAGCATGTAGGGCCAGTGAAGTGTCAATGGGCCATACCCAAATCATCTAGCAGTCGGCTAAATAAATGTCGAGAGGTTCACCTACTCTCTTCAAGGTCAGGGGAACGTCGCGAACTGGCCTATGCAATGATGGTCCCAGCATTTTTCTTGTAGCTGCTCCTACTACGATATTGTTGTAACAACGCCGTTTGTGTTGTGTGTTCATCAAAACAGTCATAATACCTGTATACAACGAAAGACTAATCTATGTTTGGTCCTAACCGCAAGGCGTGACTTTGACGTTAGCTGGTTGATCAAATCATTACCGTCTAACAGGTGTAGGCCCACAACCATTCGTCACGGATCATATACGTTAGTGATCTACAAGCATAATGTATATACAGACTAAAATGGAATCACCACATAATGGCATTTCATCGATCGGCTTGTTTCTGATTTAATCCTAACCATATGACAGTGCGTCATATGGTTATATTGGGTTACACCGTGTCAGACAGTTCGGTTGGAGAATGGTAAATCAACGAGAAAAATTTATCGCAAATCCGTTAATTGCATGCCTTGATCTGTCTGCAACCAAAGGTGGATTACCAAAGGACTGAAGAACGCCTCAGTAAGTTCGGTCTTCAAAACGGGAACAAGACACAAACCCGAAAACAGTCGATCTGTAAGCTAATCAAAATGGTTTTTAGAAGTCTAAAAACGTTTATTCGGAAGGAGTTGGCTAATAATATAGACGAAATCCATATCCTTCATGAAAGGTGGCATGGCCCTATATCAAATTATTCACGTCTCACTAAGTTACTGGTAGTCCGTGAAAGTTGTTGCTCTCTTAAATACTAAAATTTACTTGCAGATGTAGCCTATATTAACTTCACTAAGAGTTTTGACAAAGATCCTCACAACTGACTGCTATCTAAGTTAAGAGGTGTCGGGATTGGAGGCGACTTATTTATACGGATGAAGGAGTTCCCAATTGTACATCAACAAAGAGAACAAACGAACTTGTAGCTGGTACTTGGTACATTTTCGACCAGTTTGTGATTTAATATATCCTACAGATATTGTACTAGAACTGTAAATGCGATACTAACGATATCAGTCTATGTGAAAGCTATAGTCAGAACAAGAACGGCTTGTTTTTAAATCATATCCGTTTCTGGACGTAAAAACATTTCGATTAGTTCAATAATCAAATGAATTATGGTCGTTAAGTGGAATGCATAAATATGCCGGCCAGTATTGCGTGTCTTATTGAAGTGAATAAAAATCATGAGTCACAATAACATAGTAGTATAACGATGTCCTTCTAATGAAAGTTCACAAGCAACAAGGATAGTCTACGGCCATATCAGACAACGTTGACGTGGTAGGTGCATAAACAACGCCTTGATTGGTTAGTTGTGGACATAAATAACAAACAGTGGTGTTACCCCTGTGTGTAAATGACTTTTTTCGTACCCTATCACCATCAGTTTTGCTATATGATGAGTGTATCAACAAAGAGAGTAATAAAACGTGAGGGTGAAAGATAAGGGCTTCAAAGTGACCTGGATAAACTATTTGACTTGTCTGAACTTCAGCAGTTGCGGATAAATACTTTCAGGTGCATTATTTTGCATATCGACTGTCAAGGTACGGATACATACACATTGAACAACATTGAGCTACCTGTTGTCCAAACACAAAATGACATAGGAGTCATTGTTAACCAAGACTTGAAAACAATTGCACACTACCCTGCAGTAGCCGGCAAAACTCTTCGAATGCTAAGACCCATACGCTGAGCATTTAGTCATGTCAGTGTTGATAACCTGTCATCGTTGTATAAAGATTTAGTTCATCCGAAAATCAAACAATGGATACAAGATGCTAACCTCTGTCAAATATGAAGCAGTATGCTCTTATGAAAGGTTCATAAAATCACAAATGAACTGATTTCAGAAATCGTGATGTTTCCGTATGATGATAAACTGGTTAAAATAAACCTATTTCACTTGTCATGTAAAAGAACTAGAGGTGACGAGATCTCATATTTTAATTATATAATGATAACTTTACAAACTATATGCCCTCACTTTTCTGGTCTTCCAAAACAAAGAACTTGGAACACTAAAAAATTCAAAAGCTCAGAACAAATCACTTGTCAGCTGTCTTTTAACTTTTTCCTCGAATTATGAACGAATAGAATTCATCACTCTAACAAATGATTGAACCTCTATCAGACAAAGGACTTCAGAGGAGGTTAAACCAACTGAGAAGCCACCATTACCAGGACAAATAAAGACAATCCAGCCTACTGTCTTTTCCAAACTGAAGCTGAAACGGTGAACGCGGGAATGCTTGAACTGTAAGGTAAAGGTCAGCCATACAGACGTGGTCAGATCATGTATCGTCTTATTTTTCGCATCGAATATATCTTTCTATAATCTACCCAAATATGTTCGACGGAACTTCTTAACAGCATGATTCTAACTAACATGATGGTATGAATCAGTGTAGATAATCGTGTGACTTCCACACAACATCCTATAGATTGGGTAGGCACACCAAGGTAGATCTACGATTTAGGGATCAGATATATTATTGTAGTGCATAAATAAATGCTTGTAATACCTACCTAGACACCAGTATAACATAATATGTTCATTTAAAGAATGAAAATGTTGGGTGA